TCGTCAATATTATTATTTGTTACCATTTCAGTTATTGGTTGAATGTGAACGCATTCTTGAATCATCTTTCTCTTGTGGAACAGGGAAAATATGTGGGATGTGGCAAGATTTCTGTTGTTGTTGTTGTTATTGCTTTGTTGTTGTTTTGTTTTTGAGATAACTATTCTGCAACACCACCTTAGAGCGTCATTATACAACCAATCGTCCTTTTCGATGCTGTAAAAATTGTGCCATACCAGTAGCTACACATAGTCTTTGACTGTTTAGTTTTTGTAAAGGTGGCATTTTCAAAGCTTCATTCTTCATTAATTTTGCCATGATCCACGGCTAAGACAAGGGCAAATAAGGCCATACTATTACAAATTAAGTTCGTTTCCCAGGCAGCCAAGTGCAACATACGCAGTTAAATAACAACTTCTAAACCCTGCGCTAAAGGCGCTGACAGTCTATCTTTCGCACAATGTAAATTGATCTTCGAAAGGAATGAATTTTTTGCTTTTCTTAAAAAAAAAAGTAAACAGCAATCTAATTCGAGCCGGTGTTTACTCAGATGTTTCAGAAGTTTTAAAAGAAAATGAAGATGCTTCATCAACGGAGCTGAACTAGATGATGGGGAAAGCTCAAAGTTTTTTTCGAGCTTCGCTCTCTGAAAACTGTTCCTCAGAACAGATAACGTCCGCGGATAAATATCCGTGTATATTTTAGCGTCAGATAGATGCTATTGTTTATCAAAGCTAGGTTGAATGTTAAAGCAGCAATGGCCAGGATTATGCAGCAGTCCAACCTCGTTCCCGGGCCTTTTCCCGCCCCAGCCCCAACTAAGGGAAAAGGCCCTGGCAACGAGGTTGGCATCAGTCAAGTAAACTTACTGACTGATGAATAAACTTTTATTTGCCTGCCTGATGATTTAGGACTGGAGTTACTACACTTGAAGATTGCGATATTTCTCCTGCTGTTAATTAACTGTCAGTCTTATATCGCATTCGCACCAAAGCTTAAACGTGTTACAGAGCTGTTTAGTACAATATGTTTAACATTGTACTCTTCCTAAAAGCTGCTTAAGCCAAAGTTTTTCAACCCCAAATGTACCTCATTGAAAATCAAAGTTCACGGTGATTACTTGAATCCCATATGCATAGAAAATTCAGTTTTCAGTTCTCTGTTTCTGATTGCCATTTATTAAACCCCGTTTAACTAAACATGTTTTCCAAGAAAAGTGACTTTCCTGTTCAGAAAACATCCCTAAAAAAATAATCGCATTTTAAATAGGTAAACATATTATCACTCTATACTTTATATATTTTCCCATAAATTTAATTATGGTGGTGAGGAAGCCCATAAGAAACCACAGGGGTAAATTTTAAGAAAAG